CAACTGTACAAATCACTATTTTTTGATGATGCATGAAAGAAAAGATCCATGTATCATAAGGACAAACGACTCATACTCCCCCTTTCTTTCACTCCCCCACTGATATATTAAATCTAAAAAAATTCAGAGGGCAGCAGTGCAACCATTAATGTTGAAATTGCCAGGCTGGTGTCTAATGTAAATGAAACTACATTGATTTAGTGTTACCCAACATGCCTCTCCTGCTTGTTCATCTTCTCCAGTCTGATCAAAACCCTTCCTTCCAGGTAGCTATGACCTCAGTGCCCTATATAAGCACAGATAATAATGTCATCACAAGCCTTAATGATGAAGGTAGTTATAGGACAAAAGCCCCTGCGGCAAGTTGGGTATTGGGTCATTGTTCCCTCTAATGTCATGATGCCATTTCTCCCTATTGTTAGAATTGTTCCTTTGTACAGCAAATTTTTCAAGTAGTTGCTTTAAAATATAGAAGCTCTTGTCTTCACTCCACCTAGTTGCAAGAGACCATCTTCCTCCAATTTCTGGAAATTAGACAAACCCCTAAAAGCTGCAGAGATTGATAACAACTTGGTACACAGATGTCTGCAGACTTAAATTTAAACTTTGAAAAAAATTAGGTTCTTGACTCAAATCTGCTGCTAGCCCTTAATGCAGTGACAGGCTAAGCATAAAGACCTCGCGGAAAATTTTGCAAGCATCTAAATTACCCAGTCACCGTTTCAGAAGTAACTCAAGCATTCAGTAAATCAGTAAAGACTCAGTTCCTAAATTATTTATATGCTTTTGGAACTATTAGCACAGATCCAAACTTGTACACGTTTTGAGGGAAGAGAAACGGAACAATGGCTTATGAATCCTTGACCACTTCATGCCAAAAAAGTTCCAAACCCCAAATATCCAAACCCTTTTATTACTATTTACTTTCTGCATCATAGTTGTCCCAGACACCTTAGCACGAACTGACGCTCTTTTGCTTTGGTTGCACAGAAGGGGCAACCTGTAAACTCGGCGTTTACAATCTAAATAGACAAGACAGATAAAGAACAGTTATTATTCCCACGTTACTGGCAGGAAATAAGACACAGGAAGGTTAAATGACCAGCCCAAGGTCACAAAAGGAGTCTCTAGCAGAGGTGGTGTCCCAGCCTCGATTTCTTAAGTCTCTGCCCAATACTTTAGCCATCCATTCACTTGCTTTTTAAGTACCCTGTCATTATTTCTGTGAAGAAAATTATGCAACTCCTCCAGCAGCCAGTACTGTGTAATTCAGCTTGTCTGAAAGGGAATATGAAATGGCAGTTTCAAAAAAAAATTAACCCTCCTGCCACACAATCTGGCAGCCCTGTCAAAACGTCTCATTTTTAATCTTCTCTTCCTCCAATGGGTATTTAATTTCCCTGTATATTCTCAGAATACTGGCTGGGGCTTTATCTGCATTACCCTACAAAACCTTCATAGGAGTCTCCCGGTCCCTGTGGAGGACATATTCTTTAGATGGGGAACATGACTGTTTTGAGCTCTTCATTGCTAAGTCATGTGTTCAAATCCACTCTGCATTAGCAACTTGCAAATAAAGGTTTCCTGGCAGCTTCTCTGAGAAGCAGCAGTATCTTGAGTTCTGTCCTGGAAGTGCCCCTGTGTATGATGGAGAGCAGCTTGCCCATCATCGTGATACATAACTCAGTCACACTTTCAGAGCAGGTGTTACACGTTGGCAGATCTTTTATTCCTGATTGCTATTACCAGCGGAAGTGGCAGCTGTACCTCTGATGGTCTTCTAGTGACCAGAGGGCTGAAATATCCTTTGCCAATCTGGTTCAGGAGACAGAGTCTCTACCTTTGTATGATGTCTCCAGGTACCCTGGGAGGTGCCCTAGCGTCCCAGCTCCGGACACTAATTCTTTTGCTGGTGACCTCAGTAAGAGAAGCCAAAGGGCACAGAACCAATGTGACAAAAGGAAACGCAATCAGGAAGAATCGAGAGTTTCACTGGTTTCTGCCCCTTTCACAATCAAAACTCTTGTCTCTGACCTTTCAGGCTAACGCTGTTACAGCACATCAATTTCAGGCAAGCAGTGTGGCTGGCACCACCTTCAGTTGTCCTTGACTTCCCAGACCAAATAATCCATTTACAGGTGGGCTGGGGATGAGGGCAGCCCTTGGTACAGAGGCTCGAGTGTGTTTCATATTTGTGCCTCTGGATCTGTAGTGAGGTGCCTTTGTGACCTTACTCCTTCTACTCTTCATGCTCAAGATTTCTTATTACTATGTGGTTTTTTTATTCATGGAAAAAATATTTTCATCAGCTGCATTTTTACCCTCTGACGTTTCTGATGGCCCAGCTAAGAACTGGGAGCAGGCTCTGACAGAAAGTGTGAGACCTAAAAAGCCTGCTTGGTGTGAATTCCATAGGCATTGCAAGGAAGGAAAATTATTATGAAGCTTTAGTTAATAGATACTTCAGATAAAAGTGTGAGTGCATCTGATCACCATAGCAACGTGAAAGAGACAGCAGAGAGAAGAAAAATCAGCATTTCTGTGTCTGTGCCTTGACCTGCAACATAAAACAGCCCAAGTGCTGTGGATTTCACACATGGGATAGTCATACCTATGGATACAGGCATGCTTACATATACCCATGCACACAGCCATGCATACACACATCCTGTTCATGCATTCAGGCGTCAGCTGTTAGATATTTATACATCATTAGTTTTTTGCACACAGACACACAGAGCAAGGCTTATCTGCTAATGTTAAATATGGACCGTGTGCGCCCAAACTCTTTGCTGACAGCTACTTACTTACGAGAACAGTTTTCAGCTTGTGAACTTAGGTGCAGATTCACACATCTGTGTACACAGGGAGCAGAGAAACACTCTCACATACCAAGTATATTCCAACGTACAGAGCCAATCTTCTTGTCTTGGCACACAGGAAAGCGCACTTGCGCAACAGGCACTCGCCAGAGATGCTCAGACACCTTTGTTCATTTTCTTTCCAAGCGTGAAGCTGCTCGGGCTCTGAGCACACGGACGACCCAGTCACATGCGCAGTCAAACCTTGTGTGGGAATTCTGCCACGGACACTTTGGCTCTGGCTCTGAGGAGCGCCGAGCACCTGCTGCTCCCGTTGACTTTAACAGCTGCCGAAGTGAAAATTAGGCCCACACGGTCTGTTATGCAAAAGCAGTTTCTTAGCAACAAAAATGATATTCTGTACGAAGGCAACATGCATTAGCAGGATAATCCTAGGTAATTCCAGACAGGACCTAAATGGATGGATGGATGGACTGAATAATAATGATGATGGACAGAATAATAAGAAGGGAAATAATGAGGCTAATCTTATTTCCCTGGAAAGAAGAAACAGCTATAAATAAAGCACAACAGGAGAAACCCTGTGCCAATTCCCCACATGAAGATTAGAGCCACTTAAATTTGAACTTATGCCCTAAAAATAGGATCTCATAACTAAAGCTTTGCTAATCTAAGGTAGGCTGTTTACTGCCTGAAATATTTTTCCCTTATTCCAGTCATGTTTTATTATTCAGGAATGGAAAAAGTTGTACATCTTGTCATATGGCAGGAATCAATGGGAACGAACTCATGTTCGCTGCTATAAACAATATAGTTTTTACTACTTCTAGTCGATACTGTTGTGGGCAGAAAAAGCTGTAAACTTTGAAACGCTTTACCAAAACCAAATGATTCATTACAATCACTGCATTCCCATTTTAAAAATACATCAGACTAATGCACTAATACACTACACAGCTACTGTATTTTGAGCTTTGATCACTTCAAAGAATTTATTGCAAATAAAATCTCTGATGAAATTTGCTGATCTTGTACCGTTATGATGGGGGTGGGGGGGTTAAGGCCATATCTGAACAGAAACTGGCACCTCGGGTCATCCTCCCCGGGCTTTAGGGGACACTCAGGCACACAGAGCAGCTCCTCTCTTCCGCCTCAGCGCTGGCTCCGCTCCCTCCCTCAAGCCCGG